ATACTTACCTCTTTCCTGAAGAAACGGAAGTAGGAGTCGATCCGGGGCCTGTTTAATCACATAGGACTGAAGTTACAGTCCCTCTACACGTATCCACACCGATGGGAAGGATTCCAAACTCTTTTGGAAACGATCTGCTAGGTTCTGTGAAGTATATCAAGTGGGATCTAATCCCGAGAGCTAGAACTATTAAAGAAACGATTTTTTCTGAGTTTTTGCTCTGTCTTAGGGTTCTGAAAGTGAGTTCTTCTCTTAGGACGGCGTCCAACACCTCCTTATAAGTTAGAAACCCTAATCCTTGTGAAAAGAGACTTTTTACAAGTATTAACTCGGTCGAGTCAGAACTCTGACTCGATCGAGTTAGAACGAATCAGCCCAAGCCCTTTGTCAACTCTTGACCCGGCCCATTTAGTATTGACTCGGTCCGAGTCAAAACTTTGACTCGACCGAGTCAAAACATCAGCCAAGCCCAAAACACTTTCTGGGCTTCGACTCGCATGGAACTGACTCGGTCCGAGTCAAATACTGACTCGGTCCGAGTCAAATACTGACTCGGTCCGAGTCAAATACTGACTCGGTCCGAGTCAGAAGGCTGAAAACGTCCCAACACTCTGATTCTATAGGCCCATAGCAAGACGCCATGACTACCCACGTTGAATTGAGTTAGAGGTGATCTAACCGAGGCAGTAACAGCTCAAGTTCTGATCCTTTTGTCTCACGATATCATATGTTGAACAAGGGCATGGTTTGAGCCACCCTTCAAGTTCAACTGCTTTCACGTCTTGGCAAATCAACTAATAAAATTGATGCAACTTCATCTATAGCGTGGTCACGTGTTTTCATAGTCCGATTTCCACGAGAGGGCCCACCGATATCTCTCCTGTTAAGGAGGTGACAAGTCCCATATTGCATGTCTACTATCTCCATATGATTCGTGAATGTATCTGATCAACGCCGTTATAATCATCTGGTTAAAGACGACGTTTGACGCAGTCAAGACACGCCACTCCTCATATCAGATACTCTAGACATCTCAGGTCTGAGGATCCAAGAACGAACCGATGTGTGAGATTCAATTCATGACTCTGTCCATGTGACAATCTCATGCGGGTCATCCAGTCACTCGTTCACAACGAGTACCCATGATTGTGATATGCATCCAATGCATCAATCACACCTCATGCTAGTCTTAATTCATCATTGTTCCCACAATGATAACTGACCAACGAGTTTAGAATCATTCTCTAATGATTCAAGGATACCGAAATATAACAAACATGCCAATCATATAACGGAAGAGTAATGCATTCATGAACCAATGAATCAATACAAAGTCAAAGTGTCGTATCACGGATCATCCTAGAGCATCACAACCAACAATCTCCAACTATGCTCTATGATCGATCCTACAAGCATCTAATCTCCATACCATAACATGACCATCATGCTTTGACGAAGTGAGAGGCTTCGTCAACGGGTCGGCAATATTATCATCTGTCGACACTCTGCTTATCTTCACGTCTCCTCTCTCGATGATTTCTCTAATCAAGTGAAATCGCCTGAGTATGTGTTTGGATCTCGGGTGTGACCGGGGTTCCTTAGCTTGTGCAATCGCACCATTGTTGTCACAATACAACTCAATGGGATCTGCAATGCTAGGAATAACGCCCAGGTCTCCCACGAATTTCCTGATCCAAACAGCTTCCTTAGCTGCATCCGATGCTGCTATGTACTCGGCTTCTGTAGTCGAATCTGCAACGGTTGGCTGTTTGGAACTCTTCCAACTGATAGCCCCACCGTTCAGGCAGAAAACATAACCTGAATGCGATCTGAAGTCATCTCTATCGGTTTGGAAACTAGCATCGGTATAACCACTTATAGCGAGCTCGTCTTCCAATCCGCCATACACCAAGAACAAATCCTTAGTCCTTCTCAAGTACTTAAGGATGTTCTTGACCGCAATCCAGTGAGCCTCACCTGGTGTAAATTGATATCTACTAGTCATGCTCAATGCATATGATACATCTGGACGAGTACACAACATGGCATACATGATGGATCCAATTGCCGAGGCATATGGAATCCTACTCATGCGCTCTCGCTCATCCTGTGTCTTTGGACACTGAGTCTTGCTAAGAGCTACGTCATGTCCCATTGGCAAGGCACCCCTCTTGGAGTCTTGCATCTTGAACCGATTCAAGACCTTGTCAATGTATGTACTCTGACTTAGACCAAGAAGCCTTCTCGATCTATCTCTATAGATCTTGATTCCTAGAATATAGGCGGCTTCTCCTAAGTCCTTCATCGAAAAGACCGATCCTAGCCAGGATTTTACTCCTTGCAAGGTAGGAATGTCATTTCCGATGAGCAATATATCATCCACATAAAGTACAAGGAAGACCACTGCGCTCCCACTGACCTTCTTGTAAACACATGGCTCATCTTCGTTTTGCAGGAAGCCAAACGTTTTGACTGCCTCGTCAAATCGAAGATTCCAGCTCCTCGAAGCCTGCTTCAAAACCCGTGTACAGTATACGGGTTGTGCCACATGGACGATATACAATAAAATAATAAATTGCGGAAGCGAAAATACGAAATCCAAAAACATTTTAAATCAAATCAGAGTAAGCAGCGGAAAATACAACGCGATCAGTATCGCAAAATGACACATGTCCGAATAGCCATAGTTTAACCATACAAAATACGGGGATACAAATCTCGAGTTCCAAATACAAATCTCGTACATGATACTGCCTCTCTCGGATCGTCGTCGTTTGGTGCGCTACGCGTAATCCTCGTGATCTGTAAAGACATATAACCGCAAGGGCTAAGCACAACTGCTTAGTGAGTAGCCCGGGTTGATCCCGGTCATCCCGTTCCCAGCGAGAACGGTGATAAAACAATGGCATACAAGAAACAAACAAGTAATAACAACACGTATTTATATCACATCAATCATAATCACACCCGTATGGAGTCCACCATAGGGTTTAGCCATATACCCTAGTCAAGTCCATGACAGTGATGGTTGACTCCACAGCCACCCACAAACACATTCATGCTTGGCTCGTACGCACGAGCAAGCTACACACATGGCAAACAATGTGCATATATCCCTATAGTACAATCATACGCATCACGACATCCGGTCCCCACCGATCAACCATTCAACGCCATGCAATTCTACCCGCAAATTATAACACAACGGTCACTCGTATCTCAATATCGCACTCCCCACTATGCCCCGCAACGTCTTGGCGAAGGATCGGTTCGATTAATCTCAAGGTTTTCTCCTTTGGTGGGAGCTTGGTTCGCCCATGGTCAAGTCTGGTCGGGCCCGGGCCAACCCCGTTGATCGTTTCCTTTTTCCCGGTCGAAACGAAAATTTTCCTCTTTTCTCCGAGCCTAGTTCGACAGACCAAAGCCTGGTCAGTCCCGGACCAGATCCCCTTCTCTTCTGGTCCGCTCAGCATCCTTGGTCCGTCGGTTTTTTATGACACAGGTCTGGTCCGGCGGACCAAGTTTAGTCAGCCCCAGACCAGTCTACTCTTTCTCTCTTAGTCCAGCTCTCTCTTCGTTTGTCAAACGGACCATTTTTGGTCAAAAACAGGCTTGGTCCGCCGGACCAGGTTCTGGTCCGGGTCGGACCAAGCTTCCTCAGCTTCTTCCCCTCGGTCTGGCGGACCAAAACAATTTTCTGGGTTTGATCCGGAGCTGACCATTTACTGGTCCGGCGGACCGGAACTGGGCACTTCCTTCGTTCGCGATTTCAGGTTTCTGGTCCGACTTCGATTGCTCATAACTCTCTCATTTCTTATCCAAATCGCGCACCGTTTGTTTCTAAATGTTCATTAGGATGTCCTCTTTAATATCCAAGAAATAGATTGTTTAAACATTATGTGTACACGCTGAAAACGGATTCGTAATCCATGTACCTCGTGAACTCGCAACTCTGCAATTTTCCAGTTTTCTTATCAGTTTTCATTCACTCATATCTCTCTCGTTTCTCAACCAAATTGAGTAACGTTTATTTCTAAATTCTCATTGAAATGTCCTCTTTCAAACCCAAGCAACCAATCATTGAGATATCACGGTCACACGATGAAAACTAGAGTACACAGAAGCGACTCAAGCCACTCACCTTGTTCTTGAGCTTTGGTGAGCTTTGCCCGAGTTTTGGTGAGCTCCCTGTGGCTCCACACGACGTGAGAAGCTCGAAGTCACGTCTGGGCACGTCCCTCTTGGTCTCCCCGAGCTCCTTTCTCTCCCTTTCTTCTCTTTTCTCTCCCTTTCTCTCTCTTTCTCCTCTCTCCTCTGTTTTGTCCGAAATGGCTCTATGTGGAGGTTGAGGGAGACATTTGTGGGCGACGGGGAAGCTTCAGAGCAAGGAGACATCTCTAGGGGATAGGTGGGATTCCTAGGAATGGCGGCTCGTCGAGTTTTCCGCGCGTGGGGCTCATTTGTTTCCGGAAAAATCGGGTCAAAGTTGCTGCCGACACATGTGGGGAAGGCTGTTTTCTCCGGTCTGCCTGACCAAGATTCTGGTCCGCCGGATCGGGACTGCCCAACTCACTTCCCGCACCCTTTTGGTCCGTCCGTCCCCGTTTGGTCCGTCTGAGTGGTCCTGGTCAGCCCCTGACCAACCTTGGTCCGGCTAACCAAGTCCACATTCCTTCTTTTCTTCGTCTTGGTCCGTCCACCGAAGCCCAGTTTGTCTGAGTGGTCTTGGTCAGCCCCTGAGCAGCCTTGGTCCGGCTGACCAAGTCCACATTTCTCTTTTTTTTCACCTAATTAATTATTCATCCAAAATAATCAATTATCGATAATGGGTTACGGAGAATTACAAATCCTCTCCCCTTAAAAGAATTCGTTCTGAATTCAAGATGCGTGACATACTCAAGACTTTTCATATTTGATGTCCTTTTTAAACATGATCACCTCACCATAATATCGATATTTGATACAACCCAAAGTACCATACATGGTAGTCCGTACAAGGCTCAATTGAACAGGTGAGGATAATTACTACGCATCTCCGCCTCAGGTTCCCAGGTCATGTCTGCGACCCCTTGGCTTCGCCACAAGAATTTCACGAGTGGCACTTCCTTCGTCCACAACTTCTTGATCTTCCGGTCCACGATCTGCAGCGGCTCGTCGCGAAAACGTTTAGCCTCCGTGAACTCGAACTCCTGGGGCTGTAGAACGTGAGAGGGATCTGCCACGTACCTCCGTAGCATCGACACGTGGAACACGTCATGGATGTTGCCTAGTTCTGGCGGTAATCCAAGACGGTATGCAACAGCTTCCACTCTCACGATTACGGGGTAAGGTCCAATGTAGTGCGGCTTCAGCTTCCTGCTCTGTCCGAACCTCGCATGACCTCGCATCGCCTGTACTCGGAGAAAGGTGTAATCTCCAACCTCAAGCTCGAAGTCTCGACGTCGCTGATCGGCATATGACTTCTGTCGGTCCTGCGCCGTCTTCAGATGGGCGCGAATCCTCCGTATCACTTCCGTAGTCTCCTCTACAATCTCCGGTCCAAACTCGCGACGCTCCCCAATCTCGGTCCAGCACAACGGAGTCTTGCACGGTCTCCCGTACAAGGCCTCGTATGGAGACACTCCGATGCTCGTGTGATGGCTGTTGTTGTACGCAAACTCGCACAACGTCAAGTACCGATCCCACGGAGCTCCCCACTCCATAATACAAGCTCTGAGCATGTCCTCTAGAGTTTGTATCATCCGCTCTGATTGACCGTCTGTTTGGGGATGGTATGTCGTGCTCATCTTGAGCTTCTTCCCCAGAGTTTCCTAGATCGCCTTCCATAGACGTGATGTGAATCGGGCGTCTCGGTCTGAGATGTCTCGTTCGGAACTCCATGTAGACGCACGATCTCGTCGATGTAAATCTGCGCCAACCGCTCAATCGGATACTCCTGCCGGATGGGGATGAAATGAGCGGATTTGGTTAGTCGGTCCACGACTATCCAAATGGTGTTCTTCTTGCTGGGCGTGAGCGGTAATCCGACCACGAAGTCCATGGCGATCGAATCCCACTTCCATTCGGGTATCTCCAGTGGTTGTAGCTTCCCTCCAGGCATCTGTCGCTCTGTCTTCACCTGCTGGCAAGTGAGGCATCTCGCTACGTAGTCTGCCACATCCCTCTTCACCCTTGGCCAAGTATACCACTGTCGTAGACCCTGATACATCTTGCTCGCCCCCGGATGTATCGCCAACCTCGACTGATGAGCCTCTGACAAAATCTCCTGTCTCAGCTCTAGATCATCGGGCACACATAATGAGCCTCTGACAAAGTCTCCTGTCTCAGCTCTAGATCATCGGGCACACATAGTCGGTTCCCAAGTCGCAACGCGCCCTGCTCGTCGATGCGGTAGCCCTTCAGGCTATATTCCTCCATGTGATCCATGTATCAGGCGAGTAATGGATCACCGCGCTGTCCCCTGATCACGCGTTCTATCAGAGTCGGTGTCGACTCCTCTACTGTCAACGAGAGATGTCCCAACATCGCAGTCAACTCAGCGGCGTTGCTGCGAGATGAGGTGACAACACGTATGGCCGCTAAGATCTTCTTTCGGCTAAGAGCGTCAGATATCACGGTCACACGATGAAAACTAGAGTACACAGAAGCGACTCAAGCCACTCACCTTGTTCTTGAGCTTTGGTGAGCTTTGCCCGAGTTTTGGTGAGCTCCCTGTGGCTCCACAATTCTCCCCGTACAGATACGATCTCCAGATTTTCAGCGCGTGAACTACCGCCGCTAACTCTATATTATGTGTTGGGTAGTTCTCCTCGTGTTTCTTCAGCTGCCTCGACGCGTGTCCTTCCTACATCAGCACGCTTCCTCAGCTTCTTCCCCTCGGTCTGGCGGACCAAAACAATTTTCTGGGTTTGGTCCGGAGCTGACCAGTTCCTGGTCCGGCGGACCAGAACTGGGCATTTCAGGTTTGTGGTCCGACTTTGATTGCTCATAACTCTCTCATTTCTTATCCAAATCGTGCACCGTTTTTTTCTAAATGTTCATTGGGATGTCCTCTTTAATATCCAAGCAATAGATTATTTAAACATTATGTGTACACGCTGAAAACGGATTCGTAATCCATGTACCTCGTGAACTCGCAACTCTGCAATTTTCCAGTTTTCTTATCAGTTTTCATTCACTCATATCTCTCTCGTTTCTCAACCAAATTGAGTACCGTTTGTTTCTAAATTCTCATTGAAATGTCTTCTTTCAAACCCAAACAACCAATCATTGAGATATCACGGTCACACGATGAAAACTAGAGTACACAGAAGCAACTCAAGCCACTCACATTGTTCTTGAGCTTTGGTGAGCTTTGCCCGAGTTTTGGTGAGCTCCCTGTGGCTCCACACGACGTGAGAAGCTCCAAGTCATGTCTGGGCACGTCCTTCTTGGTCTCCCCGAGCTCCTTTCTCTTCCTTTCTTGTCTTTTCTCTCCCTTTCTCTCTCTTTCTCATCTCTCCTCTGTTTTGTCCGAAATGGCTCTGTGTGGAGGTTGAGGGAGACATTTGTGGGCGACAGGGAAGCTTCAGTGCAAGGAGACAGATCTAGGGGATAGGTGGGACTCCTAGGAATGGCGGCTCGTCAAGTTTTCCTCGCGTGGGGCTCATTTGTTTCCGGAAAAATCGGGTCAAAGTTGCTGCCGACACATTTGGGGAAGGCTGTTTTCTCCGGTCCGCGTGACCAAGATTCTGGTCCGCCGGACCGGGATTGCCCAACTCACTTCCCGCACCCTTTTGGTCCATCCGTCCCCGTTTGGTCCGTCTGAGTGGTCCTGGTCATCCCCTGACCAACCTTGGTCCAGCTGACCAACTCCACATTCCTTCTTTTCTTCGTCTTGGTCCGTCCACCGAAGCCCAGTCTGTCTGAGTGGTCTTGGTCAGCCCCTGACCAGCCTTGGTCCGGCTGATCAAGTCCACATTTCTCTTTTATTTTCACCTAATTAATTATTCATCCAAAATAATCAATTATCGATAATGGGTTTCAGAGTATTACAATGTATATCACCGTGGAAATCGAGTACTTACCTCTTTTCTGAAGAAACAGAAGTAGGAGTCGATCCGGGGCCTGTTTAATCACCTAGGACTGAAGTTACAGTCCCTCTACACGTATCCACACCGATGGGAAGGATTCCAAACTCTTTTGGAACCGATCTGCTACGATCTGTGAAGTATATCAAGTGGGATCTAACCCCGAGAGCTAGAACTATTAAAGAAACGATTTCTTCTGAGTTTTTGCTCTGTCTTAGGGTTCTGAAATTGAGTTCTTCTCTTAGGATGGCGTCCAACACCTCCTTATAAGTTAGAAACCCTAATCCTTGTGAAAAGAGACTTTTTCCGAGTATTGACTCGGTCCGAGTCAGAACTCTAACTCGGTCGAGTCAGAACGAATCAGCCCAAGCCCATTCGGACCTCTTGAACCGGCCGATTCCATTTGGAACCGGACCGGTTTTACTTTCTGGCAGATTTCTCAAGCTTCACGATTTTGCTTATAACTTTCAGCTCCGATATCGGATTTGCTGTGATTTTGGCGTCTACGCGAAACTCTTGAAATGTTCTTTCCAATGGTGAAGTTTCGCATGATTTGGGCTTTTGTAGAGAAAGTTATTGATATCGAAACATGAGTACCTAATCCAAACTTCATCCCTAACGCTCCAAAAACGTTCCTTTCCGTGTCCAATCATCATCGAAACCTATAACTCTGCAAAACTAAAGCACAACCGGGTTTTGTGTCCTAACACGCCTAGAATGCCTATAGATGCATGTGGTTGTCCTGTAAAACCTAGACAAACTCTCATAAAAATATAGAAAAAAATAGGAGTTATCACATGCGAAGTCTGTATTCATGGATTGATTCAGGGATTTCAAGCAACTAGTGTATAAGGAATTTACCTCTCAGCTTTAAAGACTCTACTACTGAGTTTTCGATAACTTATATCTCTATAACTCCCACTAAAAACCAAGTGCATGAAGAACGCAATCATGAACCCTAATCCCTCTAACCTATCTCTCGATAGTGAAATTCGAATCATCCATTCAATTCCACAACCTAGTTATCAAACCGTATCTCTACTTCGTTCAATTCTAGGGCATTGATCATGGGGCTAGCATTTAATCAACCAAGGAATGAAGAATAGGGAATGAATAGAAAAAATCCAAATCCGCTCATGCAAAATCCGTGTAAAGAACAAACATACCCAAGACACTGAACAAAACCCTAATCCCACATATGGGAATCTACTCAACCGTCATAACGGAGTACGGGGAAACAATAAACAAGAGAAATGAGAAGAATAGAGAATGGCTCCTGAATCTGATACTCCAAATCTTCTTTTCTTCGCTTAGGATCTCTCCTCGTGTCCCTCGTCTCCCCCCTCAGTCCCTCACTTTGATTTTTCTTTATTTCCCGAAATTAGGTCAAAGTCCGGATTAGTAACTCGGACCGCGCCAACATTAGCACGGACCACGCCAAGTTTCTGAGCAAACTTCAATTCTCCGGGATTACGGCATGGATCGTATCACTTCTGGCACCGGCCGTGTCAGATCTCTGAGCTGTTTTTATCCGAAATCCGTCTTTTGATTCCATTTCCTGTAAATCACGAAAAGAGACAAACAAAGTGGGTATAGGGTGCCTACAGTACCTAAACATGCAAGATATATATGCGTATAACACCTCTAGACTCCCAAAATGTAGAGTTATTAAGGCTAAGTATGTAGGCTCATCAGACACAATAAAAGAAGTTTTTGGATCAGAAAGTCCATCGCCGTCCTGGGTGTTTTTCCTAGTGCTGAGAACCCTATTGTGTTATATTGTAAAAAGAATGGAGCTATCGCTCAATCCAAGGAACCTAGGTCTCATCAACGATCCAAATACATACTCAGACGATTTCACTTGATAAGAGAAATCATAGACAAAGGAGATGTCAACATATGTAGGGTATTGACAGATGACAACATTGCCAATCCTTTGACGAAACCACTTCCATCGTCAAAGCTTGAAAGTCATGTGACAGATATGGGCATTAGATGGCTTGTAGAGCATAATTAGAGCATGTGGGAGATTGTTGGTTTAGGTGCTCTATGTTGCTTTACGATATGAGTACCGAGGCATTTTGTATTGACAGATTTATGATTTTGATTAAGCGAATGAATGTACTTATTCTTTATTCGTTTTGCATTTTTGATGAATAAGGAAACCCATAGTTCTTTATAAACGATCATAAATTCCCTAGTCGTGCATTATTGTAGGAATGATAATATAATAAGACTAGCATGAGATGTGATTGATGATCATACAGATGATTATGGATCACAGTCGTGGGTAGTGATTTAGAATGAAGTACTGGATG